CGATGGTGAATTGCTTGAGTGGGTCTAGGTTGTGGAGTACAGGGTGAGTCGAAAAGCAAGTCTTCAGACGATCAAATGTCTGCTGGCACTGAGGGGTCTATTCAAAAATGGCATCTTTCTTAGTTAGGTCAATGAGAGGTTGAGTGATATCAGAATAATGGGCTACAAAGGCTCTGTAAAAGTTACAGAATCCCAGGAACGATCGGACTTCTTTAACTGAAGTTAGTGTTGGCCATTTGTCTATACTATCAGTTTTTGCTTTGTCCATTTCCACGCATCCTGGTTTGATGATCATGCCCAAGTACTTGACTTCATCAGTATTGAAAGTGCATTTTTCTGGTTTCAAGAATAGCTTTTCTTCCCTAATTTTTGCCAAAACTCTCCTTATCTGATTATGGTATTCTTCAAGCATTCTCAAGAAGATAAGGATGTTGTCCATATATATTACCAGCCATCCTTTGTTGATCTCCAGTCAGAACTTGTCATCCATATACACTTGAAAGGTGGCTGGGGAGTTACACAACCCAAAGAACATTACTGTTGGCTCAAAAAGTCCATGTTCTGTAGTGAACACAGCTTTCCACCTATCTGCTGGGTGGATGTGGATGTTATTATAACCAGATCTGATATCCATTTTTATAAAGAAGTTGGTGCCGTGTAACTGTTCAATAAGGGATGCAGGAAGTGGGAGAGGATAAGAGTTTTTGATCGTTTGTTCATTAAGGAGCCGGTAGTCTTGACTGGGATGTAGTTCTCCACTCTTTTTTCCTATGAAGAAAAATCCACTTGCCTGTGGGGATTTCGATTTCATAATAAAACCCTTTGCCAAGTTTTCATCAATAAACTTTTTACAGCAAGTTGTTCTTTAGGGGACAAGGGGTATACTTTGGATGTCCTGGGGAGGAAACTGGGTTTTGTTTCTATGCGGTGATCAATTCCCAGTCTTTCTGGGGGAAGTTGATTTAGTCCGTCTTTGGCAAATACATCCGCAAAATCATGGAGATAAGCAGGTACGAGTTCTTTGAAAGATTTCTTCTGTTTCTCCTTCTCATCTTTGGCAAATTCCTGTGCTTTATTGCTAAATTTGAGAGTGGAGATAATGGGTAGTTGTGCAGATGGTTCATCTCTAGTGAGGGGGATATCGAAGGATGTTTCCTCAATGACCCTCATGAATTTGCCTTTGGCATCATATTCCACCAGGAATTCTCCATCATTGTGTTTATAGGTAGAAACCTCGTGTAATGGAGGGGCAAACCAAACATCTTCCTTGGTATTGAAACAGTTGTCGTCTTCGGTGGGTAACAATGCTGGGACATCTTCAAGGACTTCTTCTATAGAAGTGGAGAACTTGAGTGGTTCCTTTTGTGGAAGTGTGAGCGATCTGGAGTTTTAATGCTGTCTTCGATTTCAATAGATTTGAGGGTACTAGGAAGGGAGAGAGTCAATTGGCCCAATCAATGGAAGGGTTCATTGCCCAGAGCCAAGGGATTTCCAAAAGAATTTGATCATTTGGTCCTAATTTGGTGATATTGAATTTTCCTATCATGGTGCATTCGTCAATTTTGATGATAAAAGTGCAGTACCAATCGACCGGTCCACTGCTAAAATAACTTTCATCCACTGTTTGGATGTAAAAAGGTTTTTCTAGTTTTTGCGATTTGATTCCATGTTTCTTTACAAAACTTTTGGAGATGTATGTCCCTGAGGCTCCAGAGTCAATTACTGCGCTTGTTTTGACATTGTTCTGACGTGTTTGAGAAATGAGAGTAATGGGAACACAAAGTTCTTTCTTTTCATTAACAGCTCATATCAAATGTATAGATTCTTCTGGAGGTCCCATCATCAATATGGTTCTCCATTCTAAAAATCCTCTTGGATGTGTCTTGTCTCTTCTTCTTCTTCCACTTTTTGGACAAAAGGTGGTCCTTTCTTCTTCTGTGGGCATTCCTGGGTATGATGTCCGATTTGATGGCAGATGAAGCATTTCCCAATGCGCATATGCTCTTGGCATTCTGCTTCAGTGAGCTGATCAATTACCATGACATCACAATTTCTGGTTGGTATAAATCTCTGATCTCCAAATCTTCTTTTTTCTGTTGAGGTGGGAGGCAAGATCTGATGGATTGCAACTGTGTGTAGCAGTTATCAATGTCCACAATGGCTGCAATGTAGTCATTGAAGCTTTTTGGGACATTTCCCATGTTGAACAGCTTTATAAAGTCCTTCATTGTTCTGTATCCTTTCTTTTGTCTGAAAGAGTTGATGAATTACACGTCTTCTAGGAATTCTTCTTTCCATAATCTGGTGTTCCCTTTATTCATGAACGAGGTAATGAAAATGATGTGGTGCTTGTCCTCTTTGTAAAGCTTGTCGTTGATGTCCATGTAAGCTTAACAAGAGAGTAGGAACAATCTGGATGATTCTCTATCTCCATTGAAGATAGGAGGATGGTTTATCTTGTATTCGAATTCTTTGCTGCTGCTCGTGGTGGTAGATATGTTAAACAGTGGTATGGGAGTACTGAGGTTCAGGGCTTGTAGTCTTGGGATGAGTGATGTTAGATTTGCCACTTGTACTAGCTGTCTTGCTCAGCCAGGTCTTTTCTTCTGATTTGGTTTGGTTTCAGACACACCACACATAGATGGGTGGTGTCTTTCTGACTTGAATCTTTTGTTACAAACTAGGATAGTTCTAACAACGACAACTTGACAGAGTTATGATCATTGAGATTCTAAGTCTCTCAAAGGAGAGAGTGTTTTGGACTTAGTCAAAGAAGTGCTTTGACTAAGAATTGAGTATCAGATGACTTAAGATTGGAGGTCTTAAGCAAAGGATATTTCTGGTCAAAACCTAGTAAGATTCAAGTAAAGAATACAAGCATAATACACTGTGCTTAAATAGATCCATATGCACGCACAGACCAAGACAGTTATGAGAAATATTGTACAAGCCAAGAAAGGAAGGCATATCATATAAGTACAAAGTAAACAGATAGCAGTTGTAACGGCTGTCAGCATCAGGCTTCAGCATGAGGAAATGTGCTTTGTCAAGTACTACAGATCTTCCAGTGCCCATCAAAAAAGCCACTATGCGCATCCTATCTCCTCTTGACACTGACAATGAAGACATCTCTTCTTCTTCTGATCCAGCATCCTCTGATGAGCTGATCCTTCAACCAGACAATGATGAGGATGCTGATGAAGCGAAGTCCAAGAATGGAGGCACAACTCAAACTGTATGTACCTCTCTCATTGTCTTGAATGTCTTCCCTCACTGATACTTGTATTTAGGTTACAAAAAGTGAATGTACAGCAAATATTCGGACTATATTCAGTCATATTCCTAATGAGTGAGTCTGTACCTTATGAAAGTAAGTTGTTTGTTTATTTTTCAATCTCTTTTTTAACATGTTTGCACAAGGGATGCTGGTGAACCAGCATACAAGCACATGTTTTGTAGAGGGACTTCAATACTGCGAACACATATAGTTCACTACAAAAGGACCTACTTTCAAGTCTACAAGGAGCATTGTGATGCTATAGCCATTAATATGTACTTTTGTGTGATTCTGCCTGACAAAGACCTCACTGTGATGCAACAAAATCTTGATGGCAGCCTGGTTTCAAAACTGGCTGTATTTATGAAGGAGGGACTAATGGAATATATAATGGAGCTCATTATGACAGAAAATGAAGTGCATTTTTTTGTAATTCATGTTGAGGTTTATTCACATTATGGCAGGCAATTGAACTAGTTGAGAAGCCAGCTTTTCAATGTTTGCTGTTGTATACTCAATTGTCCCTGCCTGAGAAAGATATCCCACATCACACTAAATTGACTAATACAATCAAGTCTTGAGCAATCTCTGTCGAAAGGATCAAGGAGTGTCTTGCAGTAAGCTGTTTTGACAGCATGTTGACAGTGCTGTGTCTATGACATTTGCAAAGGTGAAACAGTGTGATGATAGATGGAAAGACATTTAGATGATATACAGTCAATGGAAATGCAAACATTAGCATGGCTGATGAAGACGTGCGCACAGAAGTATGCCAAAGGTTTAGTTTTTGAGTTGAGATGTTATTGCATACAAACAGATGATAGATTCTACAAAGGAGATGGAAAGAATACATGAAAATTGTAAGTACAGGATATATATGTATGTGCACCTAAGCAATACTTGAAACCAAAGACTTTAAGTCTTACACTGTAAGCAAGAACTGTAGCAATGAAAATGAGGTGGATAAGTAATATGTAATAAGGACATGCATGGAACAGAATATGCAGATAAATGTAATAAGATTTAGTCAAACCAAAAGAGAAAATGAACATGTACCAGCAGAGATAGGTGAACATAGAAAGGTCATAGACAGATGACCTGGAAGGGAGATCTGGAGCACACAGAGTGGATGTGAGTATGAGTGCATGCTGAATAAGCATCAGCTAAGAGGGACTTGTTGCTATGAAAAATAGAAGTAATGTGGAACCTATGATCTTCTCTAGTCTCTGACATAAGTATCAAAAGACACTCAGTCCTACTCAGCATGGGTCCGAGCATCACAGCACTATTCAAGAAGAAAGCTAATCTTAAAAAGTTACCAGAATGGGGCAGCTGCATCAAAGTTGATTTGACTACTGGCTTGATGCTCAACATGCAAGCAGAATATGGCAGATGAGAAGGGTTCAACTATCTTTGCTCAGTTTGAGAGGGAATGTTATGAGTAACATCAGTCACATGGTCCCCTTATCATTTTTCTCTTATTCTCACCCACACCATCTATTGGCTCATACTCCTCTACCAAATATCCATTGACTAGATTCTTAGATCCTCGTGCCTTGTCATTACTACACGCATGCACATTTGCACCCTATGACTCAACCACCAACATGAGTAGGATAAAAAAATCAATGGTGATCATGGTATTAAAAGAACTGACAAAATACAGATAAATGTGCCTCGAGGATTTGCTTCTGAATGTATTTATTGGGAGTGGGTCCAACTGGTCTTAGCTAAGTGGTTAATGCAACAGAATCTAAATCTGTCTGTGTGGGTTCAAAACCTGCTGAAGATGAATTTGCCAAGTGATCAACAGAGTCAAAATCTGTTGCTCTTGGACTGCGCAGGTTTGAAACCTACCAGCGATAAAATTCATTTTCTATGAAAACAGACCTTGGAATTTGCTCATAGTCGGTTTGCTTGCAAGCTGATAATGGTTGTGTTTAGCCAAGTGGCTGTGATCACAGAATCAAAATATGTTTCCATTGAAGTGCAACGAGTTTGAAACTTGTGGGATGTCACATTTTTTCATGTAAGAACATGTCTTGAATGTTTGCTCATAGACAGTATCTCAGACATTGATCTTCATTGATCTTGGTCAAGTTGTCGCCAGATTCAAGATCTGCTTCTCTTGAACTGTGCAGATTTGAAACCTGCCAATAACAACATTTTTGTTCTATGAAATCACACCTTGACATTTCCTTATCAAGATCAATGTGTGAGATGCTGTCTATGAGCAGATATTTAAGACATGTTCTAATAGCAACAATGCACCATTCAATGGATTTCAAACTGCATGAGGAAATATCAAGACATATTTTGATAGGGAAAAAAAATATCATTGACAGGTTTCAAACCTGTCATGGTTCAAGAGAAACAGATTTTGAGTCTGGTGAATCACCTGCAATTTCATCTTTAGCAGGTTTTGAACCTGCACAGACAGATTTAGATTCTACTCTATTAACTGCTTGGCTAAGACTAGTTGAATGTACTTCCAATGAACTCATTCAAAAGTGAATTCTCATGGCACATTTATTTGCATTTTGTCAGTTCTTTCAATACAGATCACAAACCTGCTTAGTTTAAGAGAAATATATTTTGACTCTTACAACCACTTGAATAAGCACAATAAAGAATCTCAGCCTTGATAAATTTGTATTTTTTCTCCTTCCCCAGGTCATTAGGATCAAACTTGAAGGTTTGATGTGTAACCTGCTCTTCTTTTTCTTCAACCAAGTCAAGACCTTTAGAAAGAATTGGATTGTTCTTTTACTTGTCCTTCCAAGTTTGCATCAAGACTTTGGTCGTGAATATCAACAGTGATCATGCTATTGAAAGAGCTGACAAAATGCAGATAAATGTGTCTTGAGGAGTCGCTTCTGAATGGATTCATTGGAAGTGCATCTTATTGGCGCATAATGCATGTGACAACGCGATGCGGCTCAGCGGAGTGTCGCATAGGAATTCAAACCGTTATATATAATGGTTACCTTGTTTACCTCTCTTTCCTCAGTTCGTTGTTCCACGACTGAGGGTATGTTCATCATCTCGCTATATGTTACCTAGACACTGACACATCTATTATAGTCTGACGTTGTTTAGGTACATATCAATATCAGTTTGTTGTTCCACGACTGAGGTCTGACATTATCTAGACTCTATACATCTCACTGGTCATAGCCAAGCAGTTGATATGACAGAATCTAAATCTGTCTGCGTGGGTTCAAAACCTGCCAAAGATGACATTGTCAAGTGATCACCAGAGTCGAAATCTGTTTCTCTTGGAATGTGCGGATTTGAAAACCTGCCAATGATAAAGTTACATTTTGTATGTATGCTGAGTGATGCATGTTTTTGACCTGCTCAGTCCAGGAAAATCAGATTTTTACTTTGATAACTCCTGAACTAGCAACAATGAAGATCAAAGTCTAAGAAACCGTCCATGAACAAATATTCAATTGAGCATGTTGCAACATGAAAAAGACATGCATCATTTGACTGATTGCAAACCTGTGGGCTTTGATTGAAACATATTTTGAATCTATCATGACAATGATATGGAAAAGAGTATTCATGATGGGTTTTGGAGAAAACTATCCACGAGAAAATATCAGAGTGTAATTGCATAGAATAAAATATATAATCATCAGCAGGTTTCAAATCTGCAAAGTCCAAGAGACACAGATTTTAACTCTGGTGACAACTTGACTAAGACCAATGAAGATTGATGTCTGAGATACTGTCTATGAGCAAATGTTCAAGGCATGTTCTGATAGAAAAAATGTGACATTCAATGGGTTTCAAACCTGTTGCATTCTGATAGAAATTCAATGTCTACTTGGCTAAGACCAGTGAGATGGAGCTCTTAGGAAAGTACGCATGAGTCAATGTCAAGGCGTGATTTCATAGAATAAAAATGTTATCATTGGCAGGTTTGAAACCCACAAAGTCCAAGAGAAACAGATTTTGACTCTGATGACAACTTGACTAAGATCAATGAAGATGAGTGTCTGAGATACCATCTATGAGCAAGTATTCAAGGAATGTTCTAATAGAAAAAAATGCAACATTCAACAGGTTTCAGACCTGTTGCATTCCAATGAAAACAGATTTTGATTCTGTTATGACAACCACTTGGCTAAACACAGCTTTGATGAGCTTTTAAGCAAACTGAACATGAGCATGTATCAAGGTGCATTTTCATAGAAAATGAAACTTATCATTGGCAGGTTTTAAACCCACACAGTGCAGGACAAACAGATTTTGACTCTGATAATCACTTGGCAACTTGATCTTTAGTAGGTTTTGAACCCACACAGACAGATTTAGATTCTGTTGTATCAACTGCTTGGCTAAGACCAGTGAGATTCACTTCCAATGAACTTATTCAGAAGTGAATCCTCAAGGCACATTTTATCTGCATTTTGTCAGTTCTTTCAATAGCATGGTCACTGTTGATTCTTTTATTCTGCTTTGTTTCTCTAAAAAATTACCAGAGACAAATGCAAACTCGGAATAGTAAGTACAAGAGCAGTTTAATTCTCTCCAAAGGTCTTGACTTGGTTGAAGAAGAAGAGCAGATTACATATCAAACTTTCAAGCTGTATTACAGTCTGTATTCAATTCATCTGTTCAGCTGAGGGAAAACATTGCGAGTGACAGGGAACTGTAGACTTGCCTTGCAGATTCACTTCTGAATGTTTTCTTTAAAGATGGATTTAACTGGTGTTCATCAAACAGTTGCTACGACAGAATCCAAATCTGTTTCAAATCTCTGTGTGTGTGCAGGATCAAAACTTGCTAAAGATGAAATTTCCAGTGATTATCAGAGTCAAAATCTGTTTCTCTTGGAATGTGCAGGTTTGAAACCTGCCAATGATCAAATTCATTTTTTTTAAATAAAACCGCACCTTGACACATGCTCATGGTCGATTTGCAATTTGCTTACAAGCTCATCAGAGTTGTGTTTTAGCCAAGTGGTTGTCCTGAACAGAATCAAAATCTGTTTCTATTGGAGTGCAACAGGTTTGAAACCTGTTGAGTGTCGCATTTTTTCCATAAGAACATGCCTTGAACATCTGCTCATAGACAGTATCTCAGACATAGATCTTCATTAGCCTTAGTCAAGTTATCATCAGAGTCAAAATCTGTTTGTCTTGTACTTTGCATGTTTCAAACCTGCCAATGGTAATATTTTTATTCTATGCAATTACACCCCAACATTTCCTGATGTCAGTACAAGCTCAGCATCCAGTGAATTCATGCACTTAGGTTTGAAACCCATTGAATGTCGCATTTTTTCTATCAGAACATGCCTGTTACGACACACAGTCGTGTGCGACTAGGATGATCTAAACAGCGACAACCACAACAGTGGTACCAAGTGCTGAGAGTCGTCGGCCTTTACAGACAAGCAAAGGTTGCGTACTCGAACATAGCTCGTGGTGGTTAATGAGGGGTTACGCTGAGATGATAGCGGTGTAGGGATTCATTTCTGGCTAGGCTTGGAGAGACTGTCTTTACCTTACCTTATGTTGGCACTTTGTAGCTTACATAATCAAGTTACCTTTTCACCAGTTCTACTATGAGTCTGAGTATTCAGCAAGTTTCTATCATATTTCCTCTTCTCTGAGCCTTGAGCCTGGTCCAGAAACCCTTTAGGGTCGAATAGCAGCTAGGTTCTGCAAGACCCAACATTGTTCAGACTCACCATCTGAATTGTTGTACCTTCAGCGGTTTACAGACAGCGAGAGGCATCACTGAAGGTACGAGTCGATGTCGAGCAGGTAGCTTTAGCGGGACAAGGAGTTCAAGGGTAAACCTAGTAAGATTAAAGTAAGGAACGTCTACTGTTAATCTTCGACCTTATATAAGGCTACTCTTCGTATCTAAGCTCAGCCTAAAGCTGGGTTCTAATCTGCTTATCTACATGAGTCAGAGATAGCGTCCATGAGGCGGGCTTCTATCGTAGATAGGATCCATGAGGCATCCTTCTATCAGTACATGAGGCAGCACGAGGCTTGCCTTCTATCTTGATAACATAAAGAGGTCTTCTAGACCTATTGTTACGCACTCAAATAGATCTGTTAGGCGGAGCCCTAAGAGGGGCGTCGTCTGCTAACATTCGTGACGTAACCGGAAGGATCCGGTATGGCAAGTGAGACTGGGGACGACGAGTCGGCAGTGATCACAGTACGCGCGTGTCACGTGACTTCGTAGACAGATGTCTTGTGAAGTCGCTCAAGATAAGGACTGTCTTGTCCGTACGATGAGGTCGATCGAGGTAGACTTAGTCGCGATGAGCAACTAAGAAAAGATACTAGAGACTGAAGCCAAAGGGGCGTTCAGAGGGAAGTACATTCCAGGGAAGATTGAGTAGATTCAAGTTAGAGAATCTAGTACAGTGTGACCGACTACTTATACTAAGTGGAAAGGGTTAAGGGCAAGGCTACCGCACAGTAGGTAAGGGTAAAGGGGAAGCGAGAATGGTATAGGTGCGCTGGCATCAGAGCCGGATTAGTGGTGGATGGTCGAATGCGGAATGAGACCGAGAAACATTGGAACAGACCAATGGTAAGAATACAACGTGTGGGAATCCGCAGTCAGGGGAAACAGAAAGAGGAAAGCCACATTGGTGGCACGAGTCAGACCGAGTCATAGGTGCGGGACCACATTGGTGGTCAAATCAAAGGAGGAACGTGCGTGCACGTGCATAGAGGCAGGCGATGCGAGGGACGGGAACGGTCCCGAGGATCCGGTCAATGGAAAGGCGGTAAAGGAGGACGAGCCGGTAGA